TTGCCATGCGTGAAACGGCTCCAATGGAGAAATATGCACAAGTATACCTGGATGAAATTGTTGCAAGACATGGTGTGCCACTAAAGATCATTTCCGATCGTGATACTCGCTTCACTTCTCACTTTTGGGCGAGTATGCAACGCGAATTGATCTCGAGTTGCTCTCAGCACCGCTTATCATCCCCAGACAGATGGTCAGACGGAGAGAACAATCCAAACAGTAGAAGATATGCTTCGTGTATGTGTATTGGAGTTCAGTGGTAACTGGGATAAATACTTACCGCTTGTCAAATTTTCGTATAATAACAATTACCACACTTCAATCAAAATGCCACCATATGAAGCATTATATGGTCGCAAATGCCGTAAGCTATTATGTTGGCGTGATGTAGGACAGAAGATCCTTGGAGGCCCTGAAATGATTCAAGACACCACCGACAAGATTCAAATCGTACGAGAAAGAATGAAAGCGGCCCAGGATCGACAAAAGTCCTATACAGAAAAGATAAGACGACCTATAGAATTCCAAGTGAGTGATTTCGTGATGCTGAAGGTATCCCCATGGAAAGGCCTTATGCGATTTGGGAAGAAAAGAAAGTTGAGTCCTAGATTTGTTGGTCCTTTCAAAATCATCCAGAGAATTGGAAAGCAAGCATACCGCTTAGAATTGCCTGAAGATTTTGCAGGTATTCATCATGTGTTTCATGTAAGTTATCTGCGCAAATGCTTGAGCATCTACGATGAGACAGATCCATTATCCGAGGTGAAATTGGATAATAAGTTAAGATATGTTGAAGAGCATGAAGAAATCGTGAATGAAAGAACAACTAAGCTACGCAATAAAGAAGTAGAATTGGTGCTTGTCAAGTGGAAACATCATCGAGGCCCAAACTATACTTGGGAGAATAAGAATGAGATAAAAACAAAATATCCCCATTTATTTTAATCAATGTAATTTCGGGGACGAAATCCTCAAAAGGAGGAGGTATTTGTAACATACACATTTTGAAATTGTGTTTTGTAATGAATAAAATTGTGAAATACTATGTGAAATTGACTGTTGAGTTCTAACAAATGGTTTTTACTAGAAATGAAGTAAAACTATGTTTATAATCACTCAGAAAATATTGGAAGTTTTATGAGATTCCAATTAAAAGCCAAATAGTGAAATATAGCGAAAATATAAAATTTTAAATAAGTAAAATTTTATTATTTGATGTTTTAGAGAATCTCGTTAGAAACTTGTAGGCGAAAACCTCGTCGAAATCCGAGTTATAACGAAGAAGTTATGACCAACCGAAGATCCGCGACAAAACCGACATGAAGCCGAATGACGTAAAAAGTGAGTTTTTGCAAACTACTTTTTAGCCTTATTAATTTAAATGAAAGTCGTAGTATTCGTTAAACCGAGAAATTCGATAAAAAGAACGCCAAAATGTGACCGTGTATGAGGAAGTTATGATTTTTCGAAGTTTCAACTTGGCAGTAGACAACTAAAAAGTCGAATTTTAGATCGAGCGATATTTGACTGATACATCCTAAACGAGAATCGAAGGTCTCGTCATTTGTAGTACAAAGGTAAAAAGTCTGACGAAAATGGATGTCGGATGAAGAAGTTATGAATTTTTAACGGATTTTCCTATCCCGGTCTGTTAAAAATAATAATATTAAAAATAAAATCAAAATTAGCCGACAAAGTCTAAACGAAAGTTGTAAAGTGTAATGTTAGCTACGCGTTCATATAAAGAACGCCAAAAACGGAGCTCGTATGCGAAAGTTATGAATTTTAGAAGTTCAGGGCTCAAAATCCGAGAATTTCGCATGAACAGTACCAGCCACCGGAGACCCTCGTTGCAGCCACGTCACCTTCGCACAAAACTACTGCATCACCGAGTTGTGTCCGTCGCTGATTGGTCCAAATCCGCGGCCCAATGGCCTTCCGACGCACCTCGTTCCGTGTCACCGTTCCGAGCCTCGCACGTGGCCGCGTCGCATGCACGACATCTGGCGTCCGACCCTCGCATCCGAGCCAGCTGCCGCATCCGAGCCTCGCTGCTGCGCCACCTGCCCTTCGCTGCTGATGCCACCAAGCAGCCTCGTCACCCTCCTCCGTACCGAGCCTCGCAGGCGCGATGTGGACGCCTCCCAGCCACAAATTCCGAACCCTCGCCCCTATAAATAGGAGGGTGCGAACCCTCCCGGCTAAAATTAGAATTTTGCCATTTTTCACCCCTAAATCCACATTTTCACTATTTTGACTTTTCCCGAAGCCCGGGTATCAATTTTAGCACCCGAATAACGCCCCGAGACCCCCAAGAAGCCCGAAAATTTTATCTTTTCGGTTTTGAATCCCTACCTTCGCAGAGCCTGATTTTCAATTAAGCTCCCGGTTTTCAACATAGAAATTACTATTTTAACCCTCGGTTAACTTAAGGTGAGTTCAATATATAGGAATAATTGTATGTTATGTGTTATATGTGCTATGTGCTTTTCAATGTTATTATTCTAAGTTATTTTCCCGTGTTTTTTTATTCGCTATGTTTATAGCAGTTGTAATACCTTTGACCATGTGATCAGTAAAGGGACTTAGATTCACATTGGTACTGGTACGTAGCCTCTGGCCATGTAGATCATGTCTCCATAAGAGAATGACTTCTATTCTATGGCATTGGCAAATGGTTAGACAGGACTATAAGCCTGAAATCTAACAGGATGTTAATCAGAAATTGCATGTCTTCTATTCCATTTGGGCCAAAGTTTTATTGATGTATATCAAGCATTGAAAAGTATATCTTTGAATAAAGTATTTGATTGATATGAACGCTTGTCACATGATTTCACATATATCTTGTTGTTCCTCTTTGCTTTTGCCACATTTAAGTATATATATGGCATAACATTATATTGTATCTATTATTGAATTCACTAAGCGTCACCGCTTACCCTATCAATGTTTAACAATTGCAGGTGATAAGTAACTAGTATGTTCACATACTGTTGAAAGATTTAGAATAGTTTGTAATAGTACTTTTGTACTTCAGTTTATGTTTGTATAAATTACAATATCCTGGGTAGTTATGTAATATATATAACACTTTGTAATAGACGGTTTGTATTCAATAGTTTGTAATCCCTTTATCAATGTATAATATTGCTTTTATGAATATCCAAGTAGCATGTTTTGGAGTAATGATATTGTGAAGTATGAAAGTTTGGGTCTTTCAAAAAAATACGAAAGTTGAGGTCTTTCATTCTTTGATCTTAGCCATCAAAGGCTTTAGTAGGATAAGGGGAGGGCTAAACCAACATGCGTGCCTAGTCGGACCATAAACATGAGATGTGAGATTTGTAAAATGGTTTGATTTAGTTACACTTAGCACTTTACATGTTGCATCCTTGCTAAGAGCTGATGAGATTTTATTTTTATCGGGTCTCGCATTGAGTCGGTTTAAACAGTTTTGGTAAAATATGTTGGAGATAGGGTCGACTCAAACAACTAGAGATAATTATTAGTCTGGTAACTTATAAACTTTCTTTAGAACAGATAATCTTAGAGAGCAAGGCGTTGCAACTAGGGATAAACGTAATTGCTACATCGTATGCCATGAGTGGTTGGCCGCTATCTCCGCCATGTTTTGTTGGGGGTCTCCTACAGCTATAAGTGGGACCTGCCAAGTCCCGTTTATTCCACTCCGAAAAAATTGAGATCTCATCTTCTATCTTCTCTCTCTGGAAATTCAACAAGCAGATGATCCTAAATCCACTATTCTTCTAAGTTTCCATCTATTGTTTTGCATTTTCATTTCTTCCATCGTTGTTAGAAAGAATCATAAATTTGAATTGAAACTTGGGATTTTATGTTGAAACTTACAACAATCGAGTAACATAAAAAAAACTTTAAGAACATGAGTCATTTTGTGAAGTTTTTGGCTATAAAAAATTAGCGATCTTCAAGTTGATTTTACTTTTTTGTTTAGGCTTCTAATTGGTCTGATAATTGAACATTGTGCTTCCAACTTTCTTAGTCAAACCTGATTGCGAATGATCAATCTGATTTCTGAACAGAACATATTAATAATGATGATAATATTCGGTGTTTACAACGACCAAGTAATTAATCATCAATATAATTATCCATTTGTAAAGCAAGTTTAATAAGATATTTGAATGAGGTAACAAGTATAATTGTTATTAAATAGATAAAATTATATTATTTTGAGATGTTATCTTAACATTTAATGAATCTATAGTTTAATGTTTATTATAACTTTAAATATAAAAATGAAAAATATTTTTCATTCAACTCTATAACATTTAATATTATTTTTAAATTACCAACTGAATTTCACATAATTAATGACTGTATTGTTTAATTGTCAAGTACAAGTAGAACCAAACCCACCAAAACCCACCCACCCACCCACCTCAAAAAAAAAAAAAAAAAAAAAAAAAAAAAAAAAAAAAAAAAAAGTGCCCCGGCATCGTCTCACTAGTGTGAATAGCAATATAGGATAATGAGTTTATTTTACAAATTGTGTTCTTAGGAGTTAGGACCGACATAATCATGTTATCAACAATTATAAAGAATATATTACGCGCGTGTACTCTTTTCCTCCGTACAAAATATTTTTATGATATTACTTTTCGATTTATAATGAATTTAATAATCCATCTCCAGAGCTACATTTTAACAAATTGCTTTATTGATAATAACTTGCAGTAAATAACGATACTTTCAAGATTTAAGGTCCACAAGTTATTAATGGGGTGGGTGGGACAATTTATAGTTGATTTATTTTCTACGTCACATCATATTTATCGGTGTAAGTTTTATAACAGAGCAATGAAATAAGATATAGTTCGTAATCATTGAATTTTTATAATGTTTTTTTCACCCATGATTCAGCATCTTTATATGATTCAACATCTTTATGTGGAATATTTTACATGCGTATGAACCTGCATTAAGCATGATTCTTTCCAGATCTTTATATGGAATAATATATAGGACTCGAAAATTCACATCGCTTCATTAAGAATTATATGAGTTATATGCACGGCTTTTAGTACAGATATTTCGAATATCCAACGTCTTAGGCGTTGTAAATCGAACAAAAACATAGATTTGGTTGCAAATTAACCATAAACTTCATATATTCAATGCCCCTAATACATATATAGTATAAAAGTACGGATTTTCAAAATTTTGTTACCAGCATCGCCTTAGAATGATACACGGGATGTTAAAACGTCAGATGCCGGCAAAGACGATTGAGAAAACAGAAGATCAGACACAGTTAACGTTCCAGTTTTGTCAAAATCGAGTGTCTCAAACTCATCCATGATGGGTGTGATATCATCTTCATTGATCTTCCCCATCTCTTTTAGCTTAAAGACAATGAACTCAGCAGCTCTGTTTAAACGAACAATACATAATTAAACACCATGTAAGAGTCTTATTATCTCCAAGAATGTTAAACAATGGTTCTTAATTATCTTTACTTACACAACGATGCCATCACCATCAAAATCAGCTGCCTCGAGGTCAGAAACCGTTGTTTTTCTTTTAAGAACCCATTTGACCAACGATCGTTGCCTTCTTTCAGTGTGTAATAAAGCAAAAGTAAACAGCAATTGAGCTACATAGAGAGTACCTAACAAGATCCAAAAAAGAGCAAAAACACGTCCACCTGTTGTCGAGAAGCATTTATCTATATAACCAAGTCCAGTAAGCGTCGCAACAACACAATAGAACGCATTAATGAAGTTCAAATCCTCAACAGAAAGTAAAATTCCTGTTCCTGCAGCCATAAATACAAGAAGGAACACAAGCAAGGTTATACACTTGTGTCTCACGCTCTTCGTTTTGATCTTTTTAAGGATTTCTGCTTCACCGATAGTTTCATTCATGTGCATCGCTTTCACAAGCAAGTTTGCTTGTTTCTCGACTAAAAGATCAGCTGCTTTACTTAAAACAACCCCGACAATCACCATCCCCGAGACAACAAAAAGACAAGCGAGAAGTATTGTGAGAGTGCTAGCGGGAACAAGGTCTCCATATCCGACTGATGTCATTGTTACAACAGTGAAGTAAAGTGCATCGAGTATGCTGTTTGTTTTCTTTCCGGAAATCTGGTGTCTAGCTAGATGAAAGCAAACCATACCTGCAACTAGATATGCGAAGAAGACGATACCTATCTTCCAGTAACTCGGGTAAAAATGGTCAAAAATAGACTTGGGTCGTGGAAGAGATGCAACGGCTTTTTTGAAATCGGTACCAAAAGAATCCGCAAGTGGGGCACTTTTGATTCGCCGGAATCTTTTTCTCTTGACGGAAGCTGCTTGATCGGTCAAACGTGGCTTCTTTGAATCTTTTGGTGAAGCATTTGTTTTACTTTCAGGTGTCATCGCAAGAACTTATACGCAACAACAATCCGGGAGCTCTATAGAAGACGATTACAAATGTCAAAAAAGTTTTCCGGTGGAATACATATATGAAAAGTATTATTGTAGAGAAAAAGGTTTAATTGTTTAGCTTACATATGAACTGAAGCTAGCAAAAGGGGTGGTGTCGGATTCTTGGCTACTTTTCCGGTGGAAGAAAGAAATGTAATTTGGCTGTGACTTTGTCTGGTTAGCCCTGGTGGAGGTATGACTGGTAAGAAGCTGATCGGATTCTTTTAAGGTGGATGAGGGTTGTGTTTTTTTTTGTGTGACCAATCTCAAGTCTAAGTCAACCACAATTCTTTTATTACTGGTGCATGAAAGGCCTTTGAAGATAATGGGTTGCCTTTTGAAATTATTGATGTGGGGTTGTATGTAAATATTTAAGTATACTAAAAGTTGTAGTATTGTATGATTGTATTGTATGTAAAAAATAGCAAAAATTAAAATTATTTTATGGTCTTATCAAATCTTAACACAAGATCATAAATTATAATACGACTTTTACCTGGTCCCAGAGACACGCCCATGTTTGTTGATACGGAATGCACACTATATTACAAAAGTTTGTCAGTTGTACAATAAAATACATTTATTTGTTCTTCCCTACAAAAGTTCAAAAAACGTCCTTACTAGTGAGCACAGACAAAGATTGATCGATCGAAACATCCAGACCCGGTCGTTGCATGTCTTGGTCCTCTTGGACACGACCATTTGGAGTGTAAAACCCTCAAATATGTACCATCTACACTAAGGTTGTGGTGCGTTCACACCCGAAGGCGAGATGAGTGTGTGGTGAGGTGGAAGATTACAAGAGCCTCGGTTCTTCACACCATGGTTTTTTTAGAGTAGCCAAAAATCAATGAGACCCATCAATCCAATGAGACCCATCAATCCAATGTGAATCCAACTAAAATTAGTATGTTGGTTTCAACTCATTTTTAAATGGGTAAAAATTATTAATTCGATTTAGTTTTAATATATATTTAGTTTAATAATTATTTAAATATCATTATGTATTAACCTAAGTATCTAAGTATTAAATTATAAGTTACAATGTTGTATTATCATTTATGTTTAAAAAATACATAACTATCATGCATTTGATGCAATTTCCCACATTTGTAGATGGAATCAAATCAAGCCTTTGGTGTAGATGATACTAGTCATTCATACATTTTTTGGGACATATTATGTATGAAGACTGGATCATCCAATGATTCTATATGAATTTTCAAAGCTATGGGACAATTTTAGATTTTGGCAAAACCAACATCTTTGAGCTTACATTCCGCTCAACTAATTATATCCTTAATGGTTAAATTCATACACATGCATTATTGTGGATGTAAGGTTAAACCAAGTATTTTCATGACCAAACAACAGATGACTTAATGGAATAAGAACTTGATCAATTTAAATCATAAACACACTACTAGAATTATAGGCATCAGCAATATGAATTTCTGTTGGAAACCCGTCGCTAATGACCTTCAGTGACAGTGACAAGTCAACAACAGAATACAACGGCCAGTAAAAGATTTATCACTGAAAGTTAGCGATGAAAATTTATTTTTTTTGAGACAGATTATCAACTAAATATCTGTTAGCATAATGTTCTTGAAAAACCTAACATCCTTCGCAAATCCATCGCTAACTAGATAATAGCGACGATTTTAACGATCAATTATATTGTCGTAAATGTTCATAGCACTATTTAGTTTCATTGCAATTTTTTCGTTGATCTGTCATAAATTGTTTACATTAACAATATATTTAATGATTTATTATTTGTCACTATCAAAATTCACAAACTAAAATCAAATTTTATATTACAAAGATAAATAAGATATTGATATTGTATTTCAAAACATTAAATTCAACTACCAAAATGAACATTAAATTTTGATTTCAAAACATTAAAATTCAACTACCAAAATGAATATTCATATTCGATTTCAAAGTATTGAAACCAAGTCATAAAAGTCAAAAGTACCAACGTTCACAATTTATTGTTTTTGTGCTTCAATTTATGCACGTTCAGCCAAAAGCTCTTGCTTCATTTCTTCATGTTCCAACTTAAGTACTCCCTTCATCTCTTCACATATTCGATTCATGATGACCTAAAAAGTAAATTAACAAATATAAACTTAAATGATATGAACAATAACAATAGGTCCAAAAAATAACAACTAAATACTTACAACACCGAAAAGAACCAACAACACTTTCAATATGGACCAACTAAGAATAGCATTGTACTTTCAAGGAGGAAAACAAGTTATGATTGTACTTTCAAGCTCAACCAACCAAAAATAGCATTCTACTTTCAAGGAGCAATTAGGAAAACATGAAAACAGGTCAGCATTATACTTTTAAGATGAACCAACCAAGAATAACATTATACTTTCAAGGAGGAAAATAGCTTAGCATTAAACTTTTAATATGAACCAACCAAGAATAGCATTGTACTTTCAAGGAAGAATTAGGAAAACATGAAAATAGGTCAACATTGTACTTTCAAGATAAACCAACCAATAATATCATTATACTTTCAAGGAGGAATACATGTTAGCAATGGACTTTTAAGATGAACAAACCAAGAACAACATTGTACTTTTAAGGAGGAAAATAGGAAAAGAGGTCGGCATTGTAATTTCAAGTTGAACCAACAAAAAATGTCATTGTACTTTTTGGATCTATATGCTCAAGAATCATTTTTGTTTATAACATATGATCCTATAGGGTCACACCTTTATCAAGTTGGCATAATTTGTATATTTTTTATTAACATAATTATTAACAAATAATATCAACTCTTGTATTTAATTATGGAATAATTATTGTTTATGTGAAAAGTAATTAAAGAGAGTATAACTAGTTATTATATTATATGTTTTGATTTAATAAGTTAGGTACAAAGTTTTGGTGTCACACCCCAAAACCAAGAACGGCGGAAACGTTCTGGGGCGGAGGACGTCATGTAATGTATCACAATAATATAAAGTAGTAAACAAGCAACAACATCATCCATTGCATTAATAGTATAATTTTAATTACAAGTGTGTTCTTTCAAAGTATAAGACAACATAACGAATAATCAAAATAAAAGAGGAGTCTTGACTGCTCCGTCTTCACAAAACCTGGTCTTTGTGCCTGTCTATTTGTGACCTGAGAATACAAGTTATTTTGAAAGCGAGTATCAGCAATAAAGGTGGTGAATTCATAAGTATTGATGTGTCTTTGATTTGTAAAACTGTGAACTAAAGACTTGTAAACATTTGGATAAAAGTTTGTATAAGTATGAAAATGTTTGTAAGTAATTGTAAACGTTTGAAAACTCTAGAAAATCCCTATGATTCCTACTAGTATAAAAAGTAGTCTTCTACCAATACCTAACTGTTTTGAAAGTAGCCTTCTACCAAGACCCGACTGTTTTGAAAGTAGCCTTCTACCAACACCCGACTGTACGACTATTATTATTATTATTATTATTATTATTATTATTATTATTATCTAATCTACCTCATCGATTATGTGAATATGACACATGGTAAAGGTATTAATAATATATTAACTGGAGTTTTATCCTTTTGTAATTGTCATATATACAATGTAAGTACTGTAGTATTTGTAATAAGTGACTACTTTTGTACTAATTTGCCTTAATTGAGGGTTAAGGCATTATGTGATGGTTAGATCCCATACTAAACGCTCCCTGTCAAGAGATTTTGGGAACCAAACACGACCCCTGCATGATTGCAAGCAGTGAACATCCACATTATTATGATCATGTATACCCAATATAACTATCACAATGCATTAGTCATTCATTGGAATAGTTAGATCCTGAACTTGTTCCAGTATATAGCACCTTGTTATGTATGTTCTGTTATCGTATATTGTAAGCGTATCTATGTAAACGTATTCATGTAAGCGTATCTATGTAAACCTATTCATGTAAGCGTATGCATGTAAGCGTATCTATGTAAACGTATTCATGTAACATGTAATGTATTAGTATAGACTCATGAATGAACTGACTCTTGTGTGATTCCTTGTACTTGGAATGGTAAGTAGTATCTCTTAACTACACCTATTATAGTTAGTAGTAATGTACGTGTATCACCGAAAGTATACATTTGCTACCCAAAGGTACTGAACTGACTACTGGAACTTTTATGTCTATATATATACATGATATAAAACTAATATTTAGACGACATTCGGACGAGCAACCGATGCGACAAGGCCACATCCCAACAAGGAAAAGGAAATAAAGCGAGCTAACCGTCCTAAGTCCTTTAAACATTATTTATATAACTATACATATCTAGGCATGCATTTGACAATATAAAAGCATAAAAGAAGTTTTGTAAAACCTTTGAAAGTTTAATACTAAGAACGATGACTTGATGTCAGTTTATAAAACGATTGGAAAGTATTTTGTTTCATAAGACAATTTAAGTATAAGGAAAACCTTTGTTTGAAACACATTTGTAATTGAGTTTGAAAGGAAACATACAGTATGTAAGACAATTTGATAAATAGTTTTAAACATGTAAAAACGTTTATGAAAGTCATTTGAAGAAATCTATTTGGTAAAACAGTTAATGTATAGTAAATCCATTTGCATGCTAGTTATTAATCACATGTGATTGATACAACAACTAGCATGATTCAGCTTGTATTCCCCCCCCCCCCCCCACCCATAAAGCATTTATAAACATTTAGAAAACATTTAAAAGATTAATTAAGGGGTATGAACTCACCTGCAGTGAGTGGATCGGATGGAAGTGTCGGACACGTGTTCGGTGTCAAGTGAAGGCTTAAACACACACAATGATCCTAATAACATATGAAGACATATGTATATATATATATATATATATATATATATATATATATATATATATAATCAGTGATTTAAACAGTAATTAGACAAGTATAAACATCCTAATGGGTGAAAACACTTTAGTCAAAGTGTTAGGAGGCTATTGGGTTGCAACAAAGGAGTGCAAGGCCTTGTAAGGGAGTTTATGGTCAATGGACCATGTTTGTTGGAGTTTACGGCCCAGGGGAGTTTACTCCTGGCCGTAAACTCTCAATTGGGTCACCAAATGAGGCTCAAAGCTATAATGACTCAAGTGGTTAAGTGTTCCAAGACTTAAACAAGAGGTTGGGTGGGTTTAAGGTCCAAGAATGGCCTTGTATGGTGTTTACGGCCTGGGGACCACTTCCCCATGAGTTTACGGCCATAAACTCATGGTATGAAGTACCAAATCATTTAATGAAGTCCCTAGTTCAATGGTGTAAGTTTCTATGCTAAGTTCCAAGGCTTA